TAGAAATAATGAAGAAAGTCCTTAGGGCAACCCTGGGACCTAAATGTAGATGTACCAAAAGAGTTTCAGAAGGCAGAGGAGATGAGAGATCAGGAGTGACTATCAAACAACGCTAAGGGATGGAGTTGTATGAGACTTGACCATGTGTCAAGGTTTGCCCATTGGCAGTGGAAGAGTTTATGTACATCATAATTGCTCTGTGCAGAAAGTGATGGGAGAGGGGATGATGTGTATTGATGGTGGGGATGATGTGTATTAATAGGTTTAAAAAGATCTTAGTGGAAAAAACCCACATGCTTGTGAAAAACAAACGTAACCTCAACACAATGATACTGATCTTGATGGCCTTTTGGGCCTCTTTCCATCTGCTGCATTTCTGCCTCCTAAATTGATCTCCTAAGAGCACAATAAAAAAAATTCCCTTCTCCTTCTCCAAAACTAGCCCAGACATGGCTAAGTGAAAACCTTGCTGTTTGGATCAGGATTCCTCAGTGTACTATGAAACAAGAAGAATATCGTTTCTTCTCTGGAGGGAGTTCTTGCTTGCGTTGTCTGAATGCTTCCCCCCACATAACCTCTTGACTGCTCATTAGCAACAGTTTTATTAATAGGACTTATTTCAGACTTAGCTTTGTCTGACTTATCATGCACATAGTTATGTGCCTGATTGAGATACTATGGGTTTATAAAAAAATTCCCTGAGATATGAAGCTGTGAATGACGTTAACAGCACCAAGGGGTGCGTGCATCCCTCCTGGTGGCTCTGGGACAAAACCAGCTTAATGCCGTTGTTTGGGCAAAGAGGACAGTAGCATTAGGGCTACAGCTGATGCCACTGGTGACCAGGTGATGATACCCTAAAGCTAAGATTGCTAAAACAGTAGGAAAGCTGGTGTAACACTTGCCATTTGTTATGGAAAGATTTTAGTTCGGACATCTGGTGTCTTTAAGGACATGCAGCACAGTCCACACATCAGGGCAGGAGACAAGTGGAAAGAGATTAGCAGTCAGCAACTCTGTCTCTCATGTGGCTTTGTACCAAATACCACCACTGTGAGCTTTGGTGCTGTGGATGCTTGGCACTCAGAGGAACGTCCTTGCTTTAAAACCTCAGTTGCCAACAAAAAAAATGCCAGGGGAAACTCAGTTCTTCTGAAGTGCCAGTATATTTAAAACAAGCAAACAAACAAACTAACAAACAAAACCCCAAGGGAAATCATCGTAGTCTACTTCCAAGGAACTGGAGAATGTAAAGCCATATCTGGGAAAGCAAATTCATAGTAAACCTGCGAATAGGTTTTGCAGCCTCCAGCTCTGGGCCATGGGGGCTGCTCTGCTGACTGAGCTCAGTGAACTGTGGGGTGATGCTGGTGTGCAGCCGTGTAAGCACCTGGGGTCTGGGCAGCAGAGATACCACTGGGGGCTTTCACTCCCTTGGATGCCCGTTGCATTAGAGCAGCAGACGCAGAGCTGCCTCAAAGCATGGATATGGGTCACTGTTTGTGGCTGCAATGCATTGGGACTCATTTGCCCATTGCTTAGCTTAGCCTGACCCCATTTTTACAGCCTGTCCTCTGGATCCCTCCTGCCTGGGGTCTCTGGGGCAATCCTCATGGACAGCTCCACCCTTGCTCTTGGTACACAGAGGTGGCTTTGGTTTTGTGTGCTCCACACCGTTCTGAGTGAGAGGGGAGGGAAAACAAAACCCCAGCCATCTTCAGTCTAAACATAGCTCAGAGTTCCTTCCATCCATCTGCAATGATACCTTGTGGCTGGGGAAATGA